AACACTTAAAGATTTCAGATCTTCTCCGGCGGTAATGGGTGGAGTTACTTTTGTATTCACAGGAAATTTTAGGCAAACATTTCCGGTGGTCCCTATGGGCACACGAGCAGATATTGTGAACGCATGCTTTAAAAAGTCTAAAGTATGGTCTCATACACAAAAATTAAAATTGTCTACCAATATGCGAGTTCAGCTTAGTAGAGATGGTCATTCAAATCAGTTTACTGAATACCTACTAAAAATAGGCAACGGCTCCACATCCATAACTCAAGAGGGTTATATTACCATTACAGATGTTATGGGAAACTGTGTTACAACGATTGAGCAACTTATTGATCATGTATATCCAGATATGAGAAATTTGCAGCACAAACACTCCAGCTGGCTATGCGAGTGAGCTGTAGTCACTTCAACGAATTCTGCTGGAGATGAGATTAACAAGGCAATTTCGCAGAGAGTCTCAACAGAATATAAAGTATATAAGTCTTCGGACTCAGTGATAGATCAAGAAGATGTTGTTCACTACCCAACGGAGTTTCTCAACTCTCTTAACACCCGGGGACTACCTCCGAATGAATTAAACCTTAAAATTAGTACACCAATAATACTTTTGCGAAGCCTCCCAGTTTACGTAATGGCACACGACTCAAAAGTCACTATCATCCCGAGGATACCAATGATACCAACAAATTTACCTTTTAGTTTCAAAAGAGTACAGTTCCCTATCAGAACATGCTTCGCAATTACTATTAACAAGTCTCAAGGGAAAACTATTAATTTTGTAGTTGATGTCCGGAGCGAAGTCTTTTTTCACGGCCAACTATATGTTGCGTTGCCACGAACTGGTGCCCCGGAGAATCAAATATTACTAATTCCTGGGAATGGAAATGAAACTCGCAATGTTGTATTTACTTGATCTTTGGACTTTTTGTATGTGTTTTTTCAGTTTTAATCAAACCTAACGTTTTGTTTTTTCCACCTTTTTTATTTATTCGTTGCATTTAAAGAGCTTTAATAAATCACTTTTAAAATCGTTGGAGAATCAAACAGTTATATTTCATTCGAATACAGATACATACGTGGGCAACCCCACGGGTAAGTGCTAGTATATAAATAATAATGTAGGAAGCGAAACCCATTAAATTGTGTTACCGGTTGACTTACCGATCACACAGCAGCGAAAATCACTTAGATTGGTGCTATATAAGGTACATATTCCATACCTCTGATTGTTTAGATACGATTTTTTATATATGCATCTCCTCTATCTATGTATGCTGTGAATATATAAATTTTTTCAAATGTAGTAATCTCTTAAAGTAAAATTTTGAGATGTTCATGAAAGGTATGAAGCCTTCGGCATAGCCGAACACAGCGCTGCTCTTACTTCTTTCATGTTTGATACGGTGCTTCGTTAAAAACCTTTTAAATTGGTGATTGCAATTCAGTCCCATTGTCTGTCCGGAACACTCTAATTTTCGTGGGCCCTGATTTTCATCCGATGCCTTGAATTTAACAAATTCATTAAAAACGTCGGATTTATATATTATAGGCTTTAGGAATAATTTGCGGCTGACGCCATCAACAAATGTAACGCGAGCCGGAGTGTGATGCTACGTCTAGCGGGACGAGCACATCTGAGTGTATCAGATCTAATAAATCCCGTTTTTGATTGAAAATTTTGCAATCGCCATTTTCGAACACGATTCTGTTGACCCTTGGAGCCATTTGGCTAACAGAAATTAAGTTCGCACACAAATTCGGAGCACAAGTGATGTCTTTCAAAGTTGCTTTAATTTGCTCAGTTCCGTTATTCAAAAATCAATTCAGGTCATCCACACTTTTCACTTTCAATTTGTAATTGTAAGCAATAACAATTTCTTTGTCAGAAACATTTCTTCTGTTGACTAACATAGTATCGTCGCTGATCATGTGTGCGGAAGCACCGGAGTCAATGTCCCAATGGTTGGTTTTACTGCTGTCAACCAAAAGCGATGCAAATAATGCATTTTCACGTTTTTCACTTCTATTATTTTGTTTAGAATTCTTGTAATACCTTTTCTTTTTTTGGGCAATGCTTGCTAAAATTACCAACTATTTTGCATGTATGACACTTGGAGTTCTCATTTTTTGCAAATAAAACACTAACCGAGCTTGCCCTTACGACCAATTTCCTCAGCTGTTAATGTCACATGCTATGGTTTATCTAAGCATGTAGGCTAAATTCTTAGAAAGTGTAGCGCCAGCTGTTTACCAGATACTTTTGTGTGAATGGGTGCGTGCGTGTATGTTTATGCGATTGCACAGAAAGCTAACAGAAATGTTAACCAGGTGTAGATGTACATGTGCAATCATACTTGATCAAACATAGTTCGATCAAACTTGAATGCTACTTACATGATGTCCAGAGGAAAATCGGTAAAGTAAAGTCAAGAATGCGTGTGTGAATGTTAGCAGGAAACAGTAACTTTCTTTTTGTTGAGTTTTCCATATACGTAAGTATATAATCCCAGTTGAGTCGCTTAGCTAGGCCAAAGGGTATAAAACGACCCAGCCGGAGTAAACGGTTTCAAAATGCGAAAGTTACGGTGTTGACGCTGTTTTAACCGAGGGCCAGTTGTGTTCAGTAAACAAATATAAATAAAGAAATAAACTTTTTGTGCACAAAAAAAAAAAAAAATATATATATAAGTTGGAATATTGAAGTATATATTTGTGAACGGTGATCAACGCTAACGGATCGTTGCGATACCGGTGGTCGTAAGGACGTGATCTACGGTCTAAACTGGAACTGGAGGTCGCCTATGCATAAAAGGACCTCCACTCTGCGAACGCCTAGAAAACAACACCAAGCGTAGCTTGTACTATACGGAGCGTGGAAAAAGCTGTGGGCAGACCCACTAAAGCTAAGCCAACTCCTTCACCAATCCACTCGTGTACACACA